CAAAAAATTAGGCTGGGCATGGTGGCAGGCACCAGTAATCTCAGCTACTTGGGAGGCTGAGACAGGAGAATCACTTGAACCTGGGAGGCAGGGGTTGCAGTGAGCTGAGATCGCACCATTGCACTCTGGCCTGGGCAACAAGAGTGAAACTCCAATTCAAAAAAAAAAAAAAAAACCAATTAACAGTCCCAAGAGGCTTACTTGGAGGGATATGTAATGACTTAGAGTATGTACTCCATCTGCAGGGGGCACCATGACTCAACTCCAGCCAATGGTTGCTACATAGAATCCCAGAGTCCCTGTGCCTGGGCCTTCTGATTTGGCCCCGCCCACCAAAAAAAAAAAAAAACAAAAGTCATTAATCTGGAATTTTGTATGAAAGTTCCTGATTTGTAAAACACTATGTGGTCCAAATAGCATATGCCTGTGGGTAATTTTCTAACCAGTCTGTGACTCCTGTAATACCATCTGCAACAGACCCCAGGATCCAGGTCTTGAGTGAGCTCACCAGAGAGCTCAGACAGCCCTGAGCAGGTGTAGAGGGGCAGCTGTGGGGCACAGCAGCAGGAAGGTTCTGTGTCTGATGAAGTCTCAAGTGTTGAGCCAAGGAAGAAAGGAACTATCTGTCCTGTCGGAAAACTACAATGCTCAACAAGTCCTTATGGTCTCCATTTTAATATTTTTGGTTATCACTGCAACGGTAGCATCTGCTCAGGCAATACGAGACAGGGCTCTGGGAACATTATGTGACACCTTTTATCTCAGCCCTGGGTGAGGTGAACTGCAAGTACAACTATTTACAAGCAAGACAATCACAGGTACAGAGGTGTGCCAACATGCTCAGTGAAATTCAGAGGGAATCTGACCAAGAGCTTAAACAGATTTCCAAAAGGGTAGTGTGAGGTGTTAGAAGAAGCAGAGCTGATAGGAAAACTCATAACAGCATGTTCCTCCTCAGAAGCATCTTTTGTTTATTTGCAAGGATGCAGTGAGGGCTTGGCTAGACCTCAGGGATATGCCGGTGAACCACACTGACCATGTTCATCAGTGGAAGTCAAAGTCAAGAGAAGGTCCTTGAGTTCTGCACTGTCCAGGCAAGATCACCCTTCACCCAGCCCTGCCATTCTGACAGCAGGACTCCCTAAACTCATCCCTCAGTACCCTGCCTTTCTTCCCCTAAACCTCTGTGAACTCCAGATCTGACTACCCCCAACTTCCCAAACCTACTCACTGGGTCACTGGAATGCATGATCTATTATCAGCAAAATCACTTTATCTTCAATTGCGACTCTAAACATTCCCTTCACCTTTCTGTCCTCACAGAATAAGGAGCCCATCAAGAGCAGAATGTGATGAAACAATAATTATATTAACACCAAACATTTATATGTGCAACCACTGTCCCTAGCTTAGTTTAAGCACAGCTCCTATATCTATTCCTCGAACTTCACAACAATTCCATAAGCCTATTACCATTCTATCTTCTGATGAGGAAACGGAAGCACGAAGAGGTCAATTAATTAGCCCAAGATCACAGAGTTGAGAAGTAGTGCATTAGAAACACAGGACTTGAATCGAGATAGTTGGAGCCCAAACCCTGTGTATGTAATCACTGTTATATACAGTGGTACAGAATGGTCTGTGGTCAAAGATGCAACTCCAAGAAGCAGCAACAGAGGCAACAACAGGGAGGAAACATTAGGAGGGCTCCGCATCCATTAGGTTCCAGAACTAGCCCCTAAGAAAATCTCAAAGCTCCTGCAAAGACGCCGTTTCCCCTGCTGTCCTCTGAACAGGCAGCTGATTTTTTCATTCCCATGCCCCTTGTTCCACTGGGCCTGGAGGTGAGGCAGGACTCCTTTTTGCCTGTTATTGATCTTCCACACCACTACCCCCAACACTCCCAGCTTTAAGGGTCATGTCGCCATACTACACAACCCACTACCCTCCTTGTCATAGTCAACTATTGAACCCTGTGTCATTCCCCTCATTTCTACAAGATCCTGGCACCTGGGTCATGGTCACCCTCTCCAATACTACTTCAGCTGTGATTCTCGGTGATTTCACTTCCCATAGAGAAATCCCTGCAAAGCACTGGACTGTCCATTCCATGACCTCCTCTTTTCAGGGGATTGTTTTCCTCCATCCTGACTCAGCCACTCTCTCTTATACTCATACCCTAGACATTTTTACCCAAGCAGTTGATAAAATTATCAATTTTATCTATTATCTCAATTATCTCAATTATTATCTCTATTATCTCAATTCTAAGAATCCTACTTTCCAACCACCACTTCTCGTTTTTATATTGCCAGTTCCAAAAATTATTGACTCCTCTATAAACTAAATATATGATTATACCTAAATACATGATCAATACATGGTTGTACTGTCCCTCAACTCCTCCATTGCCTCACTCGTCTTATCCAGCTTCCATTCAAGTAGGTGCTCTTACCATACTCCCTAGAACACACTCCAGCTCCTTTTTTCCTCACTCCCTAATTCTCACCTAGGGAAAATATCCTCAGCCCTTATTAAATCTCACTCTCTAACTATTGTGAACCTTTATTCAAGCAGCTGAACTTGGTGGGAGAAAAATATGCAGACATATTGACTGACTTATTTCAAATGCATGAGATCCTACCTCAAAAGGCCCAAATGCTACGTTCCAGTCCTACTCCATTTCACAAGTCATCCATTCATATGCTTTTCTGCCTAGTGTGATTGGAGAAAATCCAATTAAGGGACCAAACTATTATTTTGTAACTTCTTTCCCCCCCTCACTCTGGACTAAGAAAATAGAAGCAATCAGAAGAAAATGTTGCAGGCTTCCACCAACACATCTACCACCCTCAGGGCATTTTTCCTATAAGCTCTGCATTCCCACTCAACACCACAGATGAACTGAAGGCTCTAAGGCCAGCCCTTCTCCTTGAACCCTAGGTCCTCATTCTCTTTTTCAATACCAAGGTCATTGATCAGTCAGCCACGCTGTCTCCTGCACCATCAAATTTTCTCTCTCTTCTTGACCTTTTCCATCCAATGCAAAACACAAACCCTTTGCGTACCCTTCATTTCCTTCTAGTTCCCACACATTTCTCTGCTCTCCTTTGCAGAATGATCTCCACTTTCTTTTTCCATCTTGAACTCAATCCTTTGGGCTTTTTTGCCCATTGCTTCACCAAACAGCCCTTATCTAGGTTCCCAATAACCTCCATGTTGCAAAGCCCAATCATCAATTCTCGGTCTTCATCTTACTCAGTCTCTCAGAAACATTTGACAATGTTTGTCCCTCCCTTCTTCCTGAAAGTCTTTATGATTTGCCTCCAGGTTGCTCTTTTCTCTTGAGTCTCCTTCTACATCACTGGCCACTCCTTCTTGGTTGTTTCTCCTGGTCCCTGCTCAGATCTCAGACGTCTGAACATCAACGGCCCCAGATCCAGCCCTCTGCTTTCTTTTCCTGGTCTACCGTCCTCACTAGAGACCTAAGACCTCACTAAAGCTCAAGGTGTTAAATGCAATTTACACTGATGGCTCCCAGGTTTCTATCTTCTGCTAGACCGCTCTTCTGAATTCCACATACCTCAACCCAACTTTACATCTCAGCTGGATTCTTAACACACATCTCAGACTTTAAATGAACAAAACCCAACTCCAACTCCTGAGTCATTCTCTCTCTTTCTCTCTCTCTCTGTCTGTCTTTCTCCCCTTGCTTAAAATAGCTTCCCGTCGCACTCAGAGTGAAAGCTAGGGCCACCTGCTGCCTCTCTGATTTCATCTTCCACCACTCTCTCATGGGATTATTCTGCAACAGTTGCATTGGTCTTCCTGCTGTTTCTTGAATATACCAAGCATGTTCCAGCCCTCAAAACGTTTGCACTTTCCATTTCCTCTTCCTTAATTGCCTTTCCTCCCAGAGAGTTTCACGATATGGTCCTTCACTGCTTTCAGTCTCTGTTTGCATGAAACTTTATTCGAGAGACTTTTTCTGACCGCAGTGTTAGGTAGCAATTCCCTTTATCCCCATCCCTAGAACCAGAATGGAAGTTCTGGGTGGGCAGGCTGTATCTGAAGGGCTTAGAACTGTACCTAGAGTGTGTATAGGTAATTTGTAGCTATTTGTGGTAGCCTCCTGTCCTTTCGGAGCTCACACTCTAGTAAGACAGACAAACATTGAACAATTAATGACACATATAATTAATCCTATTGCTGATAAGTGTTGTGAAGAATAATTATAGGCCAGACGTGGTGGCTCATGCCTGTAATCTCAACACTTTAGGAGACTAAGGCAGGGAGATCATCTGAGGTCAGGAGTTCGAGACCAGTCTGGCCAACATGGTGAAACCCTGTTCTACTAAAAACACAAAAATTAGCTGGGCATGTTGGTGCACACCTGTAATCCCAGCTACTCAGGAGCCTGAGGTGGGAGAATCACTTGAACCTGGGAGGTGGAGGTTGCAATGAGCTGAGGTCGTGCCGCTGTACTCCACCTGGGTGACAGAGCAAGACTCCCTCTCAAAAAAATAATAATAATAATAATAATTATAGAGCAAATTAAGGGTATACAAGTAGCATATTCAAGAATGTTATGTAAAAAGGAACATGGCTTCCAGATCCTAAGCTATGTGAACTCTGTAACTCCTTAAAGTTCAGAGTTGTGTGTCTCTTAGAAAAAAAAAAAAAAAAAAGGATGAGATAGACATATTCAAATTGATTTGTCCTAGGCATTTCCAATTCTCAAGCATTCATTTACCCAGATAACTCTACCTCTACTTTTAGCCACGTGTAAAGCATCCTCAAGGTAGGTGGCAGAGCAGAGGAGTGACCCTCTACGTCCAATCCTTTAGCAGTAGAGAGTTTTTGATTTGCTCAGATGCCACTGTGCCTCTAAGGCTTCCAGCATCCTGTGCCTGGATTATGCCTTCCCTGTATCAACTTAAAGATGCAAGTAGATGCAAGTAGACACATGGGACAAGAGATTTCATTTCATTTGGTGGCACCTTCTATAGTATAGACATAGCGAGAGCTTGATCAATGATGGATGGGTGGTTGGATGGAGGCATGGATAGTTAGGGAGCAAATGAGAAAGGTTTCAGATGGTCCAGGTTTTCCTCACTCTGGTTCCTCAGGTTCCTTGCCATTCCCTACAGAACAAGAAGAAAAATTCAAGAAGAATCTACGCCAGCCTGGTGGTTAGATCCTCAATTCCCATACCTTGGAGTTGTAATGCCAGGGAAAAGAACTTTCCACAAACACCCTCACCAACCAGCATCCTTCAGCCTTTTTTGGGACCATGGTGGTTGGGACATCATCTTGAATCGAGCTTCCTATCCTGGAGCTCAAAGGTGGCTCCTTGTGCCATTGGTCATTATCATCACCTACCATCATAGGCTTTGTGAATCAGTTCCTTGACCTCATCTTTTCCACTGATTTTTTTCCTCCATCCTAACTCAGCCACTCCCTCCCATAGTCGTACCCCAGATTCATTTTATAAAAGAGGCAGGGGGAAAATGAAAGTCAGAAAAGGTAAAGTGAAATGCTCAAGGTCAACATCAAGAATTAATGAGAAAGGTGGGACTTGATTCAAAGCTGCCAATCCCTCAACAGCGCTGCAACACCCTCTAGGAAATGAGCTCTGTATCCAGCCCCTTGCCCCTCGCACTTTGAATGCAAAGTTGCTGCTAGGGGATGAGCCAGGTTCCCAGTGAACAACCAATCCTTGGTCCTTCCGCCAGGGCTGGGCCCAAGTTAAGCAGACACTGAGCCAGGAAAGGGCGGGCAGAGGAGATTCTGCTCTGCTTCTAGATCATACTCCTGCCCAAAAAGATTGCAAAAAGAGAGCAATTAAAGCCAGCATCCATCCAGCCCTTAAGCCAGAGGTTATGTGTTTGCCTGGGGGATGGAGTATAAAATATCTGCTGGATGTGCACCACATTCATCTTGTTCTCTGTGCCCCCGGAGTGTGCTGTTTACTTTCTTACTGGAGGTGCAATTATTTAACGAGGTGCTGAAGCCTGGGGAAGATTGCACATTTTAATCAAAGCACCAAATGAGTGAGTCTAGATGACTTTACAAAATGTATTTGAGGCGAATTTTGCACAGCAATGTCTGGATATCAGGTAATTAAGTGAAAAGGGAAATAACTTCCCAAGGGGTGTAAACAAACACACCAAGTCAGTCTCACTTCAGTGTTATGCTGAGTGGGGAAAATGGATTTCTGAGTGGACTGTGGACTACAACCCAGGGCTGCTTCCTCCGATGTCACAATAGGCTTTGTGGGGCTGGGAGCTGTGGGGCCATGGTGCCTCCTACAGGTTGAAGGGAATAAACAACCCTCAGAGAAAGTCTTGTGGAATTTCTTCTGTTAAAAGAGGAAGAGGAAGCCTGAAGCCTGGAAGGGCAAAGTGACTTCCTCAAGGTCGCATGTCTGTTTAGGGAGGAGCCAAGACCAGACGCTGGCTTTTTGATCCTCAGTCCTGTGTTGCTTCCAGTCCACCAGGCCAGTGCTACCCAAATGTCAGCTACTGGGAACAACAAAGGCAATAACAATAACAACCCAATGACATCTAAAATAATGAGAGTTGACACGTATGAGTGTGTGTGCCAGGTTCTATGTCTTGTATGATGTCTCCATTTCTCATTAGATATGTCCCAAGGATCCCAGGAAGAAGATACTATCATCCTCAGTCTAGAGGTGAGAAAACAGAAGCAGAACATTAAAGAAACCAGCCCAATGTTATACAAGTAGAGAGTGTCGTAGAACAAGTGCCAGATACTGATGCCCTGATATCCCATGGTTCCACAGTCTCTGAGCTTCCAGACCCTTCCCCAGGTCCCTAAGACTTCAGAAGCACAAGCCTAGAAACCTTCATCTCCAGGGTCCTGCTACTAAATCTGTCACTACATTTACCAAGTGGTATCTGTTTCGGACCACACCTATCCTGATGAGTAACTCAGTCTTTTTCTCAGTTCCCACGAAAGCAAAACCAAGACAAAGTTGGAGCAAACAAAATGCAAGATGCATTTGCCAATGTGGTTACTTAGGAGTCTTGAGGGAGGGTCCCAGAGAACATCTTCCAGGCATCTCCTGAAAATCACCTTTTAGACATTTTCTTCCAAATTCCAGGGGTTTCTTTCCGGCTTTCTCATAGGCATTTCTTGCTCTTTCTCCTGCTTGGGTCTGGGCTGTGGTTCAGCTTTCCAGTTCTTATCTTTCCCCTTACTCCACCTTCTTCTATCTCCTTTTTCTCTTTCCTGCTTTGTGAGGAAAAAAATAAACAATTCATTTCATTGGACACCCATGCCTTCAAGGTCTCCCACCTTCTGCCCGGAGCAGCTTATCAAGATATTTTCTTGGACAGAGGCAATTTCCTTGTTGGCCAGGGAGTCTAGAACTAGCTGCTAAGAAAATTCATTATTCACTTTGTGACACCAATAAATATGAGGTCTCCACTTCTATTTTTTTAGGCCCACATATGTGTTCCTTGCACAGCATATGGTTTCTGCAGGAGAATTCACATTTGGGACCACAGAAGTTGAGCGTCTTCATTTATTATGTTTCTCCTGAACTTGTTCTTTCTTGACTTTCACCCTCAAGACATCATAATGATGCAAACTTTAGACTGGCTGAGGCTGAAGGATGTCCACCTGCCTCCTGACTCCAACCCCTGAGCAACAGCTTTCTCAGAGAGCAGACATAGCAGAAGCTCCTCAAGAAGAGAGTCCTTGGTTGGCTTAATTCTGTATCCCCAGAACCTAATACTGTATATGGCCTGCATACAAAAAGCACTCATCCATTCTACATACATTTATTGGGTACCTGCTATGGTCAAGGCCCTGTATTTTAGGTTTTGAAGATATACAAATAAAGAATATATAGTCCCTAAACTCAAAGTTGAGTTTATATCAGAAGTTCTTGAACTTTTGCAGATTTGGGACCCAGTGGTAAATTGGTAAAAGCCTTAGATCATCTTTCCAGAAAATATACAGTATTTTGGCATCATATCCGTGGTAGGTAGCAGCAATGGCCCTAGTTCTTCTCTCTTTTCTGAATCATGCCCTTGGCCATGCAGCGTAACCAACCTTCACTCTGTGAGTAGGGGGACCTTCCCCAGCACTTGACATTGAGCGCATCCATGTAACTTGCTTTGGTCAAAAGGATGTTAGTGGGAATGACCAATGCTGAAGCTGATGAAACAGGCTTGCATTTTGGGGCCTGATCTTTTGCATTTCTACCACCACCATGAGAAGGACCTCCTGGGTTAGCTTTCTAGTCCAGAAGGGAGATGGGAAGCATGTGGAACAGGGCCCAGTTGCCACAGCAAAGGCCAATCTCCATTAGCCAGCAGCCAGGTAATCCCAGAGGTGTAAACAAGCCCATCCCTGCCTCCTGAATACCAGCTGACTCCAGACACATAACAAGTATTCACTTACTATGGGCCACTGAGGTTTTGCGGTTGCTCTTATTCTGTATTATTGTGGCAGTAACCAAATAATACAAAATGTTAAGGGTATATCATGGATAGCCCAAAGGTCCATATACGCCATATACCTCAAAGGACCCCTGGTCTTTTAGGGGACACAGAGAAGGATTTGTGAATTACAGCATAGTAGAAAGAACAACAATGGAGTAAAAGCAAGCACCCAACAAGCTCTTGCTTTGCACAGGAGGTGATGTCCAATCTAAAATCTGAAGAACAGGCAGGAATAGATCAACTTAAGACAGAGAAGAAACTGTTCCAGAAGTGGATATTAGCAAGCATGAAAACAATAAATTAGAGAAAGCAGGGTCAGTTCATTATTTTGATGGGACTGCAAGCATTTTAGTTGTTCTTCAAACAGGCAACTCTTCAAAAATTGAGAAAGGGGTCCTAAATACTTCCAAAATCGAAAGACGCTGATATATTTTTAAAACGAAGGTAGGCTAAAAGGGAGCACAAAAATAACGGTACAACTTAAATATTTTTCATGGAACGAATAAACTCTTTTAACGTTGGAAGAAATATAATGATCTTATGTGTGGCCCTATTTGAATGTAACATTAAATGCCTAATCATGTTCTTCATAAATGTGAGAACTGGGACTGGTGGCCTTCTTGTCCTCACACCCCAATCCAGTCTAAAATAGAGGGTGTGAAGACAGAGGGGGTGTTAGTGAGAGCTGAGACTCAATAATGTCTTGTTCAACTGAGTTGAAATGAAGTGAATAATTTTCAGATTTCAACAAGAAGGAAATGCACCCTGGCTGAGTAAGAGTCCTCTCCATTCATCTGCTCATGGGCAGCAAAAACTGGAAAGCCCTCAACTCCAGTTACAGAGTTTGGTGCACAGACCCCCATCTTGGCCATCTTGATTCCCAAGAGACCCCCAGCCACTCCACGGGCCCCGCGGAATTGGTCCAAGTTGCCCACTACCCATGGCGAGGTACAGAGGTGATGATGGTGTCACACCACCACCTAGTGGCCACTCCTGATAAATGGTATTCTCCTTAACCTCTGGGATTTACAAGCTCGCCCAGGTGAGTGAAAGGACTGCCAGTGACTGGCAGGACCTAGAGTTCCTCTCTCTCGATATATTACGGGTGATATAAAGTGTTTTGCCCAAATCCCAGCATGGAACACTCAGAGCTTAGTAACCGCAATTATTAACATTACCATTATTATTGCCATGATACTGTAGAAATTCCTGAGTCTCTTTGAAATTAATTGGGCTACCGGAAAATGAGATTTTCAGAGATAATTAAGAATCCATTTCTCCTTTAATTTCATTCAATAAACAGGTACTAAATGTTTAATAGATGCCAGCACTGTGCTGTGTAACTGGGACAGCGTGAAGAAGATATAAAAATGGCTAAGATGCAGTCCCTGCTGTAAGACATTTCCAGTCCAGAAGGAGAAGTAGGCACGTAAACAGCCAGCTCTCAAGTGCTAAATAGAGACACAGCCGGAGTGCTGGCTATGACAGCGCGGAAGCAGCAGTGATTCATTTAGACGCCCGTGGTTTCCCTTAACTCTCAAAATAAAATCCTGGTCCTTACTATGGTCTTGCAGGGTCTGGCGGGGCTGCCTCCCTACGCTGCTTCTGGGCCTCTCTCCAGCACCTTGGAGAGCTCCTGGACTCAAAGAAGGAAGGGAAACTTCATGAGATTGCAGAGTAGGCAAAAGGCCGGGGGCGTTGCAGATGCTGTTTCTGAAGTTAAGGTTCTAGCTCTATGACCTTGGACAAGATACTTAACCTTTCTGTGTCTTATTAGCCTCATGGTGTAAAGGATGATGTTAATAGCAGCACCTACCTCCTGGGGTCATTGTGAGGATTCGAAGACTTTGTACTACAATATAAGGCACTTAGTCTCTGTGGCATGGTAAATCTTCCTTTTTTCTCTTTTTTTTTTTTTTAAGACATGGTCTTTTCCTGTCTTCTGTCCCCCAGGCTGAAATGCATGGTGCAATCACGGCTCACTGCAGCCTCAACTACCTAGGCTCAAGCAATCCTCTTATCTCGCCTCCCAAGTAGCTGGGTCTACAGGTGCTCATCACCACACCCGGCTAATTGTTTTGTACTTTGTAGAGACAGGTTTCCCCCATGTTGCTCAGGCTAGTCTCTAACTCCCGAGCTCAAGCAGTCAGCCTGCCTTGGCTTCCCAAAGTGCTGGAATTACAGGCGTGATCCACTGCACTTGGCCTACATCCTCCATGTTTTTATTAGCAGCTGTACTCTGCAAAAACCTCCTGGACTCTCCATGAGATGCGGATCCAACTTTGCAGACATTCAAGTTTTTGTGGTGGTGTTGTTAAACCTTAGTCTATCCTGTTTAAAGCTTTGCTTTCATATGTGATTCAGCACTCCCCACACATCCACCGAGGGCATTTGGAATTGGGGGTGCAGAAGAAGGTGCCTGGCAAGCTCCCTTTTTTTTTTTTATCCTTGATTTGTCCCTTTCATCAGCCTGTGTGATCTAAACCCTTTAGAGGCCTACCACTGGCCTGTGGCCCAGCAGCAAGGATGGGAGGAAGGAAGATTCTGCTCCCATTGCTCACATGGCAATGTTCTGACTCATTCCTGTGCTGGTGACCTCTATGAGGGAGGATCCTGACGGAGGTGGTGTATTTGGCTTCTGTGGAAAGCTGTTCAGCCTTGCACTGCCCACTCCTGACTCTTTTTCTTCTTCTTTTTTCTTTTTTTTTGAGATAGAGTCTTGCTCTGTTGCCCAGGCTAGAGTGCAATGGCATGATCTAGGCTCACTGCAACCTCCACCTCCCAGGTTCAAGTGATTCTCCTGCCTCAGTCTCCTGAGTAGCTGGGATTACAGGCATGCACACCACACCCAGCTAATTTTTGTATTTTTAGTAGAGACGGAGTTTCACCATGTTGGTCAGGCTGGTCTCGAACTCCTGACCTCATGATCCACCCACCTCAGCCTCCCAAAGTGCTGGGATTACAGGCGTGAGCCATTGCGTCTGGCCCCTTGACTCCTTTCTAAAGAAGATCTCTGGAGGCGAACCATGTTGACCTTTGTCCACCAGTTTATGTTCACCCTCTTCGCCAGGTCACCATCCTGTTGTCCAGTCTGCTAGACTGTGGCATCCACGTGGGCAGGACCTGTCCATCACCACTGTAGAGTCAGTTCTGGGTACGGTGCCCGATGTATGTGTGTCTTCAACAAGTGTTCATGGTGTTTGCAATATTTTCCCTTCTCAGCATCAGGAAATAGATGGGATGAATATTTATGATCACTAACTGATATCCTTAGACAAAGGGAGGAGAGAGACCAAAAGGTCCACTCTGCATCTTTGGGGGCCTTGAGGGGTGCGGGCACATAATAACTGCAAGTCCCTGTTGGGGCCTCGGCACTCAGAGATGCTGCTGGCCTGCTCTTATGATAAATATGCCTCTAAAAATATATTGGGAAAAATTCATCTCTTTGTATCCCAGTGAAGCAAAGGGAAGTGAAACAGGTCATTAAAATGAGACTTTTTGTCATCTCAGAGTTTCAGCTGTGACCCCAAAGCTAAAAACAATGGGTGCCAAGTAGACCCCCACTGAAATGCTGAACCACATGTGTAGGCTTGGCCAAGGGCATTGCCAAAAGCTACTTCTGCTTTCAATAGATGTGCACCCATCACCAGGCTATGGAGGAAAAAGCCAAGACTCACAGGAGGTTGAAGAGATGCAAAGAATTAGATCTTTGAAGAGAGATATTGGTGTTGTGTGTGGGTTGCTCTCCACACATGGGTGACAGCAAGCTTCCAGTCCAACACC